TTTCTCTTCGTCTGCTTCAACGGACATGCTGTTTCGGCTACATGTGCTATGTGTAAGACGAATCAAAAATGCCTCGAAAGAGGAGGGGACAAGAAGAGGTGAATACCTCTTAGAGGCGACCATCCCCCTCTAACGACACAAGATGTCACCGTAGGAAACTATCAGAGGGGTTCGAGAGTAAATGCCACGGATGGAGCCTCAAAAACTCGGAAACTATCAGGCAGGATGTCACCTGATCAAATAAAACTCACCCCTAGGTACAATAGTATCGTTGATAGATGTGTGAGACTCATAATAAGACAAATAATTTGAATCATAAAGGTTCAAACCCTTGAAGGCCCGCCATGAACGCATGCTGTTCTCTGTCACAGATGAAGCCAATGGCATGCAACCAACGAGAAGTATCTGATCTAGTCGTTGCGTCAGTACCGAAATCACTCAATGGTGAACCATTCTTTGAGAATCTAGATATTTGCATCCGCCAAAATGATACAGTCACCGATGCCTCGATATTGAAATCTAGTGCTTACTAAGTTGAGATAATACTGATCATCTACCAGTCAGATGATAAAGAAAGTGAACGCGAAGACGCGAATCCACGATTCACCAGAACCGACCATGCTACATAACCGATAGAAGCACTAATGCTGGGATATAGAGCGGGTGGGACAGGAGGAAGTCTTTGGTGATGCAGAATCGCAGCTCGTGACCAGAAGTTCCGCCCAGATGGAAGTGGGAAGAAGATTCCTCATATCCAGAGGCTCGTTCAGGGAGTAATGGCGGGAGGACCCGTTACCCCCTTGATTCTCCACAACTGCGTCGTCATCGTTGCAAAAATATGAAGTTGCGGCTTGATCTGGGACAGCCTTCATGCTCTCATTGCGGCGATCGATGAGCTCTTGTAAACTGTGTGCCCATTTACAACGTTGAGCACCGAAACGACAGTGGGTCCCTTCGATAATGCATCGACACAGTTCAGTCTTGTATGCACCCTTGGCAGCGGCATGTTGTCGTCTGCGTCCACGGCGTGGCTTGGTCGATACTGCCTCAGAAATAGAAAGTATACTTCTTGAAGGGGTAGCCGACTGGAGTCGTTCCCAACATACGGAATGTTCCATCTCAATAGAGCTATTCGTAACATGAGGTGACTTAACATTGTCAACATCAGGAAAATAAGAACTGACGGCCGAGACGGCCGACGCCTTCACTCCATCTTCCATATGATGGTCTATTTGGGGCGCACCGGTCCCATAAATCATGATGCAGGGACCAAAGACCAAACTAAGTAAGGAGTAGTCAAAGTTTCCACATGCAGATCTTATCCCCCCATGCATACTCCACAAAGCCTCCCGGATATTGTGAATTTTCTCGACATACGAGTGGGGCATCTCGCTACGGTCCCCGAATGCTGAGGTGCTAAGAGTATATAATCTCATCTCCGACTCTCTTTGTTGAATCATATCCGACAATAAATTACCGAAGTGCAGGATTTGCACGACATGGAAGGGACAGCATCACGCACGACGTGAAATCGAAACATAGGAAAAGTGAAATGATTTGAGAGGAATTCCGGGCTAGAGGCGATTTGAACGACTACGACGCTGCATATGTGAAGGTGATTCTGCTAATGTGGGATTACATTATTGAGAATTGCAGATGAAATATGAGAATGCGAATAATTCACGCAACGATTACATTGAGCTAAAATAGAAGTATTAATAATGCGTTCAATCCTCGTGATCTTGTGTTTCCTCAATGTCTAGGACGATCAACCTGAACTTTGTCTGGAATGGACGGTAGAGATGATCAGAGAGATGCGCAGGAGATGTTGGCATGCGGGCGAAACTACTGGTTAGGCTCATCGGTAGTACTGAAGACTGACTGTCACCAACAGGGGAATATAATACATTTCAGCAACATTAGAATTATAGCAACGTTGCGGAGATGCGCAAAAAGCAAAAAAACGGCGTTTCAGCAGCATTAGACAAGTCAAGACAAACACATTTCGGCACTTTGTTCGCATTTCCACATCTTGTCTTGTTCGAATTGAGCAATGTTGCTGATATCTTGCTGAAAAGCTGGATTCGGTGTATGGAATTTTGAGCATCTTTACTACGATGCTCAAATGCAAGCGTTCTACACGATTTTTGTGAATGGGCAACATCAGTGAGTTGCTGAAAAGTGAATGTCTGCCGCGCTGGGCTCATTTGAGCATCTTTGATAGGTTGCTAAAATGACGCAGGAGCTCATCATTACAGTTGCTGCTGTGGTGTCTCCACTTTCGCACCAAGAACCGTCGCGAAAAACCTGCAATTCCGTCAACCGATTCGCGATTTTGACTTGGCATCGCAAAGCCACTTCGCGATGGCGAATCGAAAAGTTCGCCGTCGGTTGCGCCACCAGCCTATTTAATCTTCCGACCTAGCGACCCGCCTAAGGTTTGAACCTGGACCTCTACTATGCAGTACGTGGACATTGATCAATCGGCCATTACAGCTTCAAACGTTTTACAGAATATTTTTCCCGTCGTAACTGTAACCGTAACACCAGGGGTCCTTGGCAGTGCCAATTGGCTCGTTGCCAACAGGCTAGCACTGAATTCTTGACTGTGACTCGAATAGGTCTTTGGGCGGTTCTCCAATAAAAGCTCGACCCAGGAATCGAACTTGGATCGTCCACATCATGGGTTAGACCCATGCTCACTCTAGCATTTCAACCTCGTAATATGCATATATAATTCGATTGTGCCTCATGAGCTTCGCGCGATGTGGTTGCTTAGCTGGGTAAATACTCCCGTGGTCCAAAAGTGGGTCCGGTTGGTCCAATAGTGGACGGAGCTTAGCTCCGTCGTATACCAAATTTTCATTCTCGAGCGAGCCACTTCCCCATTGGTCCAAAAGTGGTTTGGTCCAAAAGTAGGGGAAACGCTGCTGTCGGGTATAACGTCGGGCACGAACGAAGTAGCGCTCAGGCGATGGCGGCCAGGCCTAGACATCTTACTGAAGCCGCTTGTGCACAGGACATCAGGTGAAGCCGCCTGTTCTCAGGAGTTCGGGAGAGGAGTATCGGAGACTTGACGCTTCTCGAAGATTCAGCGGTCATATGTCGTTGCCAGGGTCCGAGCCTGGGTGGCGCCTATGGTAGATCTGAACTCTACCACTCCGCTACCTAGACTACATAAAGGTCAAGTCTTCGAACCCAGGCCTAGTGATCCGGAGTGCTACCGAATGCAATCGACCGAGTGGAGCACTAGCATCACAGGCCTCTCCTGCACGGGCGGGAAGGGTTGGGGAAGATAATCGAGGCACGGCCTCGCTAACTACATCAACAATCCCACTCATCAGTAAACCGATACCAGAGCCTTCCGTTAGGAGGTTTACTCAACGCATATCCTATGTGGCGCATACGCGACTGGGACGATACAAAGCGGTCTTCCCGACTATGGTCGGAAGATATTCAGCGTAACTTGCGCCGTGACGGGGCGATCGCGAAGTCGCGTGGTCTCTGCATTTGAGCAATGTTTTTCGCAACATGGTAATGGAAGTAGCGGAAGTGAATTTATCTAATGGTACTTTCGTCATTTGAGCAATGTTTTTCGCAACATGGTGGGAGTAGCCGAAATCGTAATGGTCAGCGAGCTGTAGACATTCTAGCAAGGTGGAAAAACTTGGGCAAGCTCATGTCCTTCAAACCAGCAGCTTAGGATGTTGCGGATAGCCGCAACAAATTGCGGAATGTCAGAAAATCCCGGGCTGTAGCACAGTATCAACAACGTTGCTCAAAGCGACGTCTGACTACATTTGGGCAACTTAAACAAAAGGTGCTGAATCAGAGGTTGCTGAAATGTGTATCTTCCCCAACAGGGAGTGCGCGGCGCGCTGTTGGGGTGATCTCGCGGCTCGAAAGCATACAGTATGTTATTGCTGAGCATGGTTTTCGTACTCTGATGCGTCGCGGGTGTAAGAATCGGGGAATTTTCCTTTATCGCGACATCAGAGGTGATGCCAGTCGAGAAAATACGAACACTCTCGTAGCCATGGACAGGTGAGTGACGCAACGAGGACACGGCAAGCGATCACCATCTTTCATAGTTTCTAGGACGGTCATGTTGATGATCTACCCGAAGTGATCAGCGATTTGAATCTCTCGAATTCTTTCACGGCTTTGGTGACTGCTATCTGTAACCGAAGCCGTCGAAACAGGGGCCCATCTACGTCAGCTCTCTCGGCGGGCTGCTGACAAGAGTAGCTCTAGTCGAGTTCTTTTTCCTGAACGATCCACCAGTTGTTATATTCACCCAGCCTAGCTCTTTATGGTAGGGCTGCATATCTGATGAGCGCTAATTGCAAAGGCTGCCCAGCCGTCGGAGGATAGCAGACTTGATGTTGAAGGAGTAGTATACTACAATGTAGTGAGGGACGTAGTAGAGGAGCCGAATTGGCGAGAGGGTCGTAGTAATCGAGAATGGCATAATAGAATCTATCTAGGAGATGTCTATGGCACTGCAAATGAGAAACGAACCACGCCCTCTCCTTGATCACAGCGACGCTAGATGACTCGACAAAGCCGGGCAATTTGCTCTCTTTGCTGAACTGTATTCTGAATGGTTGGGCGATTACTCCTACGACCGGCCCCATTGTCTCCATGAGTGTCTAGCAGGGACCGTGGACAGCAGACATTGAGTCTAGCGGAGTCGTTTAGGATACGTTGACGGCCGCATACGACCAGAGAGATGTGAAGGAGAACTGGACACGCTAAAACGATGTTTTCATACTATGAATTTTCCCTAATGCTCTCATCTGTCTAGATTTCTGAGTGATTCGTTGGGTATTCCCCATTGATTATCAGAGCCTATTGTCAGTATTATTATCAATATTATTAGTAGTATGCGGCTCTATCCTCAACAATTATTTTTCCATGGACTGGGCTCTAAGCCGGAATACGTCTTCACTATTGATTTCTGGCATCGCTCCCCATCGCCATCCAATGAAGCTGAGCCAGGTGCCACCATCTGGCAGTTATTCCGGCTAGATTCCGCCTATTCAGGTGAAGCGAAATCTGATGATGACGAGGGTGAAATAATCTGTGCTACCGGCGGAGCTGACACAGTCGTTCGGCTGTGGAAAGTCGTGAAGGGCGGTTCAGCAACTGGTTCCTCGTCGACAGTCAATGCCAACAGTCAAGGATCTCCTAATTCTAGTAGACCTGCTGAGAAGGATGGCATCGACACTCCGATGACAGTGAGCACGCGAGACCCCCATTTAGTGTAAGTAATTTAGCGTTCATCATCATCGGGGGAGATGACGTGATGGTTTCTCAGGATGCATGCTGAGCTCAGTGGCAGCCATTCACACGGATGTGTAACCTGTGTGAGGTTTGCTCCACCTATTACCGGAGGTATTAGGCTTTCCTTCTGACTGCATGCCTGTGCTCAGCGTATGATTGTTAGAACCTCCGGTCCTAGCCTCGGCTGGAGATGACGGCCGCGTTGTCTTCTGGGTCTACAGCGAGTCCCCACTCACTGGGGAGATGCAATGGATGGCTCAGGCTAGGGCTCTCAATTGCCTTGATGAAGTGCCATCACTATCACTGACATCACTACTATCAACACTATCGTGTATAGGTATCAGGAATAGCATGGTCTCCTAATGCACGGCAACTAGCAGTATGTCTTCACCGGGAGCTCTGTGTGGTATGGGATGTTGCCACAGCAAAACAAATACAGAGACTGGACGGCCACACCTCGAGGTGAGACTTCCTCCTAAGCTGAAGTGGGCCACTCAATATTCCAGAGTCCTTGGTGTGGCATGGGATCCTCGAGATCGCTATATCTGCACGACCAGTGCTGACCGTACTTGCCGAGTATGGGCTCGGAATAAACGGAAGAGCTTCTATCCAAAGGCGGTGGTTCGGACGTACGACGCTAAGGTTATGGCTAAGGAGGCCGATAATGTGAATGAGGCTCTGGAGCCGGGGACAGAGGACTCCGTGCCGGCCTCGTTGGCTGAGAGGACGGTTCGAGAAAAGATCTTCATCAACGATAGTCACTATGCTCACGATGCTACCGCCCATTTCTTCCGGTAGGATCCATTCGAAATATTTTTGCTTTTCATTTATTCGATTTCAGTCGACCCAGCTTTTCCCCGGATGGTCGGTTGCTGTTGGTTCCAGGCTGCCTCACGCCGCACGGTGACTACGGCTGTCTAGTCCTGGCCAGGGGCGATGGCTTCTCGAACCCCGCTGCCATCATCAACTCTGGCTCTGTGTCGCCCACTGTCTGTTCGAGGTCACTGCCCTCTGAAGTTCTCATGGTGTGGTATGGTACCTGGCAGGTTCTTCCCCTCCCCGGTCCGATCCTCTGACCAATCATCTCACTACGTATTCAGTGTGGGTACCGCTGCTGCACAGCTAGTGTTGTATGATACGACCGTCTTCTCTAAGGGAGGTAAAAGGACACTGATTCAGTTCGCCTGTCAGGAATACTCTTTCTAGGCCCTCGAAGACTACCGAGAACTGCCGGTTCGGACCTTCACTGTACAAGTATAGTAGACCTAGCTTTTGACCACACCGGACAGGTAGCAGAGCAGTTGCTGCTCTCTGGCAATGTATGAGCTGTGCCCAGTTCTTGGCAGTGGCCGGCAGCGATGGTTATGTTACGTTATGCTCCTTGGACGAGACGGACTTAGGAGGTTCACCTTGCATGCCTAAAGTGAGTCAATGTGACCACCCGTTACGACCCTCATCTTTTGGTACTGTAGACAGCGGAGGAGGATGCCGCTGTTGCACCGGCGTCATTGGAAGCGCCGCTAATTAGCACACAGAAAAATGCCGAATCCTCAATCGCCCCGATCCAGCCTACGGCTAAGTCAGCATTGCCAACTCTAGAAATCGTCTGTGCTGCGGATCAGCCGCCAGTAAGAACTGCTCACCGATACGAATGACGCTCAATGAGGTTGGCTCAAGGTGCCTTCACCTCGTGTTCATTCACCGGTCATACAGACAGTGTTCGCAGCAGCGGCTAAATTTATCCGCTCTGAGGCTCCCAAGCTCATCAGCTCGCTAGAGGGGGGCACCATCGTGTGCTCTCCGGTGAAACGCTCTTCTACGACTGCACGGACGGAGCCACCGGGAGTTGGTGTGGCGAAGAAATCTCGACGAAAGATCACTCCTACGCTGGTGAAGACTCCCACCAAGGTCCGTGCAAGTCCGCGACTTTGGCGCACACCTTCCATTCAGGTTGTTGATGCCCGTCTAAGAGCGGAAGTAAAGTCGCCTGTGCTGCAGCTTGTCCGTATCGAGCTGGAGCCCGATGCTAAGGAAGAACTACAGCGACTCAGGGACAACCTGCCGTGTCCGATCAGCGTGGCAACGACGGTGAGAGCATCGCCTTCAATAGTTTACAACAAGCACTGTCTTCAGGTGGACGGAAGTGGGTCTGGGGATATTGATCCGCGATGATTTCTTTTGTTTCACCGGATGGGAACTCTTGCATGGTTCATCAGTGTCGCGTTGTCCCTAGTGGGGAGCTTCTGTGAAGGTGCACTACTCTTTGACCAGAATGGCATCTTATTTCAACAGCTGATGTAATGGCATCATCATCATCTTCCTCTACGAGAGACAGCGGTCGTCCGTCGGTTTTCGTGTCGATGCTGGCCACTATGGAGGAGAGCATGCAAGAGGTCGCCACGATGAGGAAAGACCTTCAAACGGACCTAGTGAATAGCATTGCGCTTTACTGGTGCCTGAACCTTCACGCTTCCCTTCAGACAATGCCAGTACCGACTCGTCGTATTTCGGATGAGTTTGACGAAGCCGTGGTCATCAGCCAGAGTGAGGCGGACATGGACACACCCTTAGGGTACGGCTAGTAGACGATGCTCTGTTGAATATCAGAGCTTTGCAGGCATATCCCGACAAGGGGTGGTGCCGTCACAGAGCCAGTCTCAGAGGCCCAGCTCGTGAGCCTCGACAGCAGCCCTCGAGAGTCCGTCCAGGGGTCGGCGAGTCATTCGTCGAGTCACTCTATCAGCATGACGGTGGAGCAGTCGCCCTCGAGAAACGAGATGACTGGTAACCTCTCTTCCCTGGTGACGCTGACTTCAGTGCTACAGTCAGGTCAGCCGATGGTTCTTTCATCCTCCTCAGCGGAGGAGTCTACCACTGTCTCCCACCCAGGCGAAGGGGCCGATGAAGACAGCGCGTTTATGGAGACCCTCAACTTGCTGCAGGAGGAACTTCAGGGAGTTCGTGTACGTGGCGCACACAACGGGGCTGTTCAGTTCGGTGTTTTAGGAGACTATAAGGTTTCATCAGGAGAGACCTCTTTCTCCTGTCCAAGTCACTCGCGTCAGACTCGATCAATCTCCCGGGAGTGAGTCCTCCTCTAACAGAGTTGAAGGCGGTGCGAGAGTCCCCGAATTCGATGGAGGCGCCATCATGGATCGGAATGGCCTCGCTCAGTCCCAGCTGAGGAGCCCAACCGCTACGGTTGCACCTATTGAGGCAACTTGCACTAGACCCGCTTCGGACCGCCCGTTCAGCTCACACCACTCCTCGTCCTCATCGTCATCATCACCTCCGGCGCCGCTACCGCTCTATCTCGTCCGTGGTGGAGCCTCGGTCCCTTCTACTGCCGACTCGTCGCCGCCCTCGACCGTCTCTACTTCATTCGCCAACTCCGGAGTCCACGTGAGGACCGGCTCGCTG